GGGCTCCATTATTTGGTTCATCCAAGTGTTTCCCCATAGGGGGTATATTGCTTCCCTAATTAGAATTATAGCACATAAAGAAAAATGCAAATTTCTCTACAAAATATATGTTAGCACTTTAAAATTATGTTTGTAATTTTACATGACACAACTTTATATCAAGTGGCATTAATTTTAGGGACCTACCTACTACGGGCATTCAACTTTAACCTTTATAAATATCGAAGTATCCTGCTTGGCATTCAGCTTTCTTCAGTTTTGTACATTGTTTTTGGCTGCCATAATGGTCTGTGATTGCTTTACTAGATAAAGCTTTGGTTATTGGAAATAAGATACTCCCAAGATTTGTTAGGAATTCATGCCTCCTGGCCATAGGTTTCCTTTCTTACTTCATTCATATTTAAAAGAGCGTTCTCCTATGAAGGTTAATTATTGTAATTTGGAAGGCAAGAAATGTTGATTGAAGAGGTTGCAATTTATGTTGAAATAGTGGTTGTTTTTCTATTTCATCAAGCCATGGTGCATCTTGACTTTGGGATTATGAGGTACTTCATTTGAGGAGGTTGAGGGAAGTCCATCTCTTGCCGTGGATTATAATTTTCCTTTTGGAGGTTTGGTTTAGTTTCAATTTGATTTGGTAGCGAACCTGTTGTAGTTGTGTTCCATTTAAACATTCCAAGGACAACAAGTTATTTTTGAATAGGGTTGTAAATGATCTGAGCTGAGTCAAGTAGGAGCTTGCTTGAACTTGTGCTCATTTGTTAAAACTCTATTTAAACTTGATATGAAGCTCAAACAAGCATTTTTAGTTGTGCTCAATTTTGGTTCATTTAAAATTATGACTGTTTAAGCCTGCTTGGAGCTTGGTTTATTAGATAACCGAATGAGCTCTATCGAGTCTATTAACTAGCAAGACTGCTGAGAAACTTGTTAGTTAACTAAATAAGTCTTATCGAACCTATTAATAAGTCGTCTATTGAGCTTGAAAATGAGACTTTAATTGAATGAACTACTGAATAAACAAGCATTTTAATAAGCATAAATAAGTACCTTTTGTTTATAAACAAAATATTTTATTATAGAAAAAAATTAATACTATCACATAATCACATATTAAATAAAATTGTAATCGAGTATTAAATGAGCATATTATCGAGACTTAATCAAGCTTATTAAGTTTTTTCTTGAGCTTTAAATGATATTGTTCGTGATTATAAATGAATTAAAGACGAAGCTATTCAAGCTTGTTCATTTATGAATCCTATGTTTATAATAGTTCTAGGTTGTTAGATTATTTAATTTAACTATCACGACTGAGCTTTAACCAAGCCAAACTACTTATAGATTGCCAAACATATTGGTTTATTTGCATCCCTATTTGTGAAGCATTAATTATTTATTTATTTGCATTTTTTAACCCTAATGGGCCATAAATTACTAATTGAAATAAAATGTTTTTCATTTTAATTCTGTTTTTTCGTTAGTAATTTTATATACAGAGCATCCTCGAACTAACATGTAAAAAACTGATTGCCAACATAAAAAAAATTGTTCTGTACATTTGTACAATTTAATTAGTGACATGCTTGCTATTTTCTTTTTAATTTACCTTTTTGAAAAAGTTTCCCTGACATTTTTCTGCAATAGTATGTTTTGTCGGCTTCAGAAGTTATTAAGAAGTCAGCTCATTGGGAGGTCGATGTCCAAGTGGTTCTTTTTGCTGCTAAAACTGGTGCAAATCGACTTGCTGGTGGTCTGTTCAAAGGGAAAACACTAGTTTATTCAGACCTGAAGCATGTGGTCCTGAGAATCTTGCCTAAGTATATTCCAGAGGCTGAAGAAAATGCCATTCTGGTGTCTTCTCATATTGATTCAGTTTTCTCAACGTATGCTTACTATCTCATCTTGCTTTCTGTTAAGAATCTTTAATTTATGCTTTCAGTTAATTGGAGAACATTAAAAAACAAATCAAAACGTACTGTATGATTTTAGATCTGGTCACTTGAAAATTGTAGGAATTGTTACAAGCCCTATTATGTGATAATATAGCTTCACCGAAAAGTAACACTCAATTTTCGGATATGGTTAACAGAATTTCTAGACATCGGCCAATTAGTTGAAGGCTAGAAATTGTCAAATGTCTTTGCTTTTACTGTCTCCTCTGGAAACTAAAACATCTGTCTTTTTTTAATGAAGAAAATCATTTCTGGGAGCACAAGTAGGAGAGAATTATATGTAGGACCAATTTTTTCTGAATATTGAATAGCATGATATCTATATTAAATTCTGTAACATAGTATATATTCTCTTTAGAAATTTTGAAAATCTATTATTCATGAACTTGTAAGTCTTTGATGCAGCGCCTCAAACTTAAGTTAATTGTGCACCTTTTTTGTTATAATTTATGATAATTTTAAATTGACAATTGCATTAACATAATTTCCTTCGAGTGGTGCTTGTTTTGAGAAAGTGTAGCGATGGTGGTTATTTACAATCAAAGAGAGGAAGGGAAATGCCATAAGGAAGGTTCACAAGAGAGACAGAGAAATGGGTGAATCGTAAAGAGATCTAATAGAGCTAGATGAATTGTTAAGAGAGATCGAGCTCGGGGAAGGATGACTATGAGTGAAAATCAGGAATAGTGCCTTTCATGAGGTGAGAGAGTGAGGAGGAGAGGTGATGCAAAATGTATGGTGGGTTTTGAAATGGAGAATGATGGGGAGTAGTTTATTTGGTGTAAGGAGAAATAGGATGACTCAGAGATTTGAAACTTTGAAGACTTTGGGAAGAAGGGGTGCCAAAGGTGGTCAAGAGCTCCAAGGTAGGTATAGGATTTGGGTTTCCAAGTGAAGTCTGACTTTATGTGGTGCTGAAGGTAATGCTTTGAGGGGGGAAACGATGAAATGAAGTGGTTTGTGGATAACTGTAGAATGTGGGGTTGTTGATCCAAAACTTGTTTAGAGCTGAATTTGGAATTATTGGTATATGGAATTGAAGAAAGTGTGGATGGCTGTATTGAGGGCAGTTGGTTTATAAAGTTTACTTTAATGTAAGAAACTATGGCCAGAAGCGTGGGGACTTAGAGAGAGGTTCCAGTTCACTTGTGGGTAATGTGAGGAAGAATATGAGCAAAAAAAAAAAGGAAAAAAAAAAAAAAAAAAAAAAAAAAAAAAAAAAAAACCCCAACAAAATAAAGAATGACAAGAACACGAACATCCTCACCAAAGGAAGGTTGATCTAGTTAGCAAGCTAAGAATCTAGGAGATGTCACCAAGCTTTCCCTTTGGTAGAGATTTCCTCCCAAAATTTTTAATTTTATTTCTTCCTAAAGATTATTATAGTTTAGCATTCTTGATATTTAAAGCATTAGAGAATCAAAACATCACAACAAATTGAGGAGGTGGCCTTCCATATTGTGGGCTCCAAAAATTTGCTCCCCGGCCTTTCCGTGACTCCTTTTTTTTTTGGTCGTCAAGGAGAGTTTTAACGTCTAAGTTCTGAGGCAAATTTTCAGAAGACAGATTGAGTTTTAGATAAGATATTACCTAGAGATTTTGCCCTCATTTTGTGAGGACTGTCTTATATGAGTTCAAGTTTGCTATAGGCCTAAGCCCCCATAATTAATTATTCCTTCCGGTAACGAAAGAGAACTTTCAATTAAGGCTAGTCGTCAAAAAGATACATAGTATCCAGCGTATAGTAGGAGCAAAATTAGATATTGAAAATTTAAATTTATATCATCACGCACTTAGAGCGAATGGTGGGGGAAATGATGATCACCCCGATCAAGATTCCATGGTTCCATCGTCTCGAGTCATCATGATCCATAGTCAACTTAGTCAGAGGATGTAGTCGACCGAACCTGACCGAAGGATCCTTGTCGGCAGCCATGGGTTGCATCATCCAAGAGTATCTTATAAACTTGGGGTGAATGTTTATCTAAGAGGACATATTTAAGTCCACCTTAGCTAACAAAGAGCTTTGTTCCCTATTGATTCATTACTCAAGAATTTAGACCCATTGGGGAACATACGGGCTTTAGCCATGATCGTAATTTAGTTGTGTCATTTGACGATAAAACCACCCAGTTAGAGGGTCTCAATCATAACCGTTTACCTGTGGTGTCATTTGGTGGTGAAATCATCGGTTAGAGGACACATACCATCATATTCATTGGCAAGAGATAATTTGAGAATGAATCCTAGCGATATTCTTGATTAGACATTTGTTCTTTGTGAGCTGAAGTGATTTTCAAATTTATTCACCTCGACAAACTATTGCGAAGGGTGGATGTATATTTTGCTTTAAGTGTTAGATTATAAATTTCAGTTTTTGAATGTATGTAGAGTTTTGAAGTTTTTGGTAGAATTTAAAGACTACCCCTTACGGTTGATATTAGCTTTCAACACAACCATCATCGGGGTGACGTTAAAATTAATTTAGATGTTTATATTTTATAAGTGTGGGAGACATTTTAAAAGTTTGGGGTTCCCTCATGTTGAGATTTTTTGTCAACACAGCCATCATCGGGTATATTTAAATAGGTCATGTATATGTCATTCAAACCGTGTCAACTCTGATCACATGCTTACAGATGATTGGGTTCAATTACTGGTGTTGTGAGTTATCATGCCGATATTGAGAATCAAGAGTTGACCTTAAGTGAGATACAAATGATTGGGTTCATGGAGAAGGATCAAATTTGAACTTAAGTTAATTTGTTGACCCGCGCAACATCTTCAGGCGTCACTTGTGTGCATACATCACGCTTGCCGGGGCCCATGCTGGCAGGGGCGGAGTCAAGATTTTTTTTTTTATGCGGGGGCACAAATCATTTAAGTAAAAAAAAACTACCTTTTTCATCCGGGTTTGGGACCTTCATTAGCGGTTTTATGTATTTATTTTTTTCAATTTTTATACTAGAAATCTTCTTTAAGAAGAAGTAAGAAAGCTGTCCCAAATTAAGCATAAATTCAATTCAATTCTTTTACTCATATACTTTCATTTTCTCTCTTTGAATTCCTTCAAGCCGAGCAGTGCCTAAATAAATGAGCAGATACAAATATTTTCTCAAATAATAGATATGCTTTTCTCAAGATTGTTTTTTTTAATTTTGAATTCATGGCATGAAATAGTGCTAATTTTGATATAACAATATAACTTTATAAGAGCAAAATCCGTTGCTTAACAAAGTAACAAAGGATTGATAAATGAAAAAAAAAAAAAAATCAAGAAACAAATTAAAGTTGCGCGCCTTGGCCGCTCCTTGATGTTTGAATGCCTATGCCCGCTATCTCCTATCTGTGTGCCTTGTAAAGGCCTGGGAAGAAAGGCAAAATGGAGAGAAGGAGAGAGGGAGAGAAAAGAGAGTGGAAGAGTCTTGTGAGTTGAGAGAAGAGCTACGATCGAATGGTTTTTTTGCGTGCGACTGGATGGAGTTGGAAGGGGGGAAACGGAGGAAGGGGACTTCAGGTTGCTTGTGATAGAGAGGAAATCGACCAAGGGCTTCAATTGGAGTGTGCTTCGCGAACTAGAGTAATATGGACGAGGGCCTAGCATCTTGGATCGGAGGTCATCGTCGCCTCGACTACAGGTCGGATAGCTGAGTGTAGGGGCGGAGTGCCGAGCGGGACTTGCGAGTCGAGGGCGACTGTCGACTGGAAGGCGGAAGCAACGAACAAGGCGAAACAACGAGATGGACGAAGCAACAAGGCGAGGGTGGAGCAACGAGGTGAGGGTGGCGACTGGGCATTCAGTGTTCTGGCTCACGCGCAGACCGCGAAGAAGACCTCTTATTTTGGCTTCTGCCCGTGCTTGCGAGGGATTGTTATTGGGCTGGAAAAAAAAACCTTTACATAAACTTATTTGATTTAATATGTAGTTAATGCGTTATTAATATATTTAATTAGGTGTTAATGATAAAGTTAGTTGGGGCCCGTGCCCCTGGGCCCCCCGCTGCATCCTCTCCTGCATGCGGGTATATGCTATTGAATGCATTTTACATGTTGTATTGATATGGAGTGTCTTGGCTTAATACACTAACATAGTGTATGATGTACTTGCATGATATGTATGCATAATGCATCCATGCATTATCTACTTGTTTGCACAAGTACATGGTGATTCAATTCTCTCGTGTAGTGCACGATGGGTTTGCATGTCAGCGTAGCATGTTTCTGTTCAACTGTGCATTCTGCAAGTTGGATGGTATGCTTGAATGATTCATTTTACATATTGTGTAGTGTGCTTTCTTTACACGATTCATCTTGCATGTTGTAATGTGTGTGTGCAGTTTACATGCATTTCAAAGCATTTGCAAAATGCATATATATGTTCTGAATGTGTCAGTGTGTACTTCAATGCATGAGGGGGGGGGGGTATTTTTGCAATATTCAAATGTAACCAGTCGTGTAGGTGACGATCATTTAGACTATGCATAAGTTTCCATTTAAAGGGCCTATAAAATGCCTTATGTCTGCTTGTATGAGTATTGCGAATACTGTGACGTGGTTTATCTCATTCATCTTTTGCAGGCTATTATTTTCTTTAGTATTCAGCCCGTAGGAGTGTACATTTGCCTGCAAACATGCTGTGCGATGCATCGGGAGCCCTCCACCAATGTTCCATAGTTTTTACTACAAATTCTCTGCTTCTTCTTGCAGGTGAATCATAGTGTTGCGTTACAGGTTGCTCATTGATTCTTGCGAGCGAGCTATGGTGTCATGCAAGCTTTGTCAAATTTGTTTTTGTGTTGTCCGTGGACATTCCAAAGTCACCCGCTATTGCGTATAGGTAAACTATGCTCAACGTAGATTTTCCAACATTTTCTATACGGTACTGCTGTATGCATTTTAGGTCTTTGTAATTGCCCATAGTTGCTTGCTTTTTTTACAGCTATTTTTGTATTCTCTTGCAGATAGTGTTTTGTGTACATGACAGGTCTTCTACGATGGCTCGTAGGTGTTTGCATTCGTTACATATCGACCGCCTTCGCTTGTGGGGGATTAATGTATTTACTTGACACTGAATTGTTGTTGACTACAAGGAAGTCATAATATTCATTGCATGCTGGTTGGTAAGTTGTTATGCTCACTTGTATGTCTTTCATTGTCATCCATGATCACTCACAGGCTTCTTGTAGTGCTTGTAAACAAACCATTGTGTGTGTCATAAGTTCATGCTCATGCCCATAGGCGAATTATTATGTTCACTACATGTCTCCTGCATACGCTCATGAAAGCTCGTACTCACTGCAGGTTCTTTGTCCTTGCTTTTAGATTGACTAATTGAAAAGGAAATGTTACTTTAATCTCATCATTTATGGGCAAATTATCACATGCATTACGAGTTTGCTCGCCACTTGTCTAATGCTTATTCATTGATGTTTAGTTGAATGACCCAGCTTGTTAGTTAGTGTTTGTATTTGAATGTGATTGTCCATTTATTAGGCACTAATGAATGAGGTAAAAGAAAGGAAGGAAACATAAGAAAAGATGATTTAATCTGAGAGATTCTTCTCGCCAAAGAAAGGAATATGTTGCCCCAAGCATTTAATTTATCTAAAGTGTGAGATATGATACAATGAAAATCCGAAGCAACCAATCTTCTCAATACTATCTTCACTCCCAAATAAATAATCTCATTAACACATTTATATCCAAATAAAGAAGCAAGTTTATTCTCGTTTCTAGAAGTAACAAACTTTCCACAAATCAGCATCGATTTGTTCTTATTAATTGCTTGGCCTGTCAAAGAGCTATATTCAGCCAATATGGTCTTAATTTTACCTACCAAACTGGAAGAAGTTTCGGCAAAAACTAATACATCATCACCACACAAAGGTGAGAAATAAGATCAGCTTTGTGAGAGATTTTGATACCCAAATTATATCCTTTTTTATGAAAAGCTTTAGACAACAATTAAGCACACATAATGACCAAATAAGGTGATAACGGCCAACCCTGTCTGAAACCACTTTTTGCTTGTATCCATTCAGTTATACTACCATTTATTAGAATAGAAAATTTTGGATTCAACACACTACATTATCAAATTAGAGAACTAGTCTGCATTCCCATACATTTCAACAAATGAGATAAAGTAGGCTATCCCATACTGTCATTCGCTTGCTCCATATCAAGTTTTAAAGCCATCAAACCTTTTTTTGTTTAGAAAATCTGAATTTGCATAATATCTCTTGGGCTAAAAGGTAGTGATCAGACATGGATCTGCTAATCACAAAAGCAACTTGTTCTTCTGAAATAAGTTTAGGAATACATCTCTTCAACATGTTAAGAATCATAATACCAGCCACTTTATACAGTGTTTTACACAAGCTAAATTGTCTAAATTTAGATGGCTCCATAGCATTTTGATATCAATACTATCAAGTTTCCATGTCCTCTTCTATGTATCCACTCCTTTATATAATTGATCTAAGTGAGTTAAATTTATCAAAACTAAGTATCACTTCTCTTGTAATATTTTTTAATAATTATTAATATCACACCCACTAAAATTGCATTGTATATTTAGTTTTTGTTCTTGTAATTCTATGTCCTTTATCTTCTAATATATATTTTTTCTAAATATTAATTTTTTTGCATTGATCTAACTTTCCACTTATCACATCAAATGTTTAAACAATTAGAACTCTCATTTGCAAGAAGCATACACTAAGGCATCTCATTTTGATCATCTTTTGTTCACATTTTTATAATCAATACAAAAAGAATATATACTTAGTGACTATCTTTATAATAAATTGTAATATTAAGACTGTATTACCAAGACATGACAGGATGCCAATTATGAAATCTCATGACGATTCTTGCTTATGTTGCCTCATAATTTACTATCCTAGTTACAATATTCTGTAGCGACAAGGAATACAACAACAACAACAACAACAACAACAACAACAACAACAACAACAAACCTTTATCCTACTACATGGGCTCGGCTAAATGAATTCTTTTTCTCCATTGTGTCTTGTTAAGACTCAAAATTCCCATTTAAATTTAATAAAGAAATGTTATTTCTAACATTTTTTAAATAAGTCTTTTTAGGTCTATCTCTACCTTTCATAACATAAACCAAATCTAATACATCTACTCTCCTAACTGGGTAATTGGAAGGCCGAAATTTTATGTGACTTTCTCTAATCTTATCTTCCATTGGAGCTATTCCAACCTTTTCACGTATATACTCATTTCATATTCTGTTTCTAAGACTGAAGCCACTCATCCACCTGAGCATCCCCATCTCTGCAACACTATTTATTTTATGCTTCGTTTTTAATGGCCAACATTCTGCACCATAAAACATTTTAGGTCTTCCAACCATCTTATAGAATTTTTCCTTAAGTTTGAGGGGTACTTTTCTATCACACAATAGACCCGACGCATTCTTCAACTTCAACCACCAAACTTGAATTCTACTAATAATATCCCCGTCTATTTCACCATCACTTTGAAAAAAGATCTGAGATATTTAAAACATGTACTCTTATTAATGACTTGATCACCAAAAGTCACAATCTTGCAACTAAAATTACACTCCATGTATTCGGTTTTAGATCTACTCAAACAAAAACCTTTAGACTCTATGGTTGATATCCATGATTCAAGTTTACCTTCAACTCTCTCCAATCTTATCAACAAGAAGAATATCATCAGCAAAAAGCATACACCAGGGTACATTCTCTTGCAAATGTCTATTAAGAACATCAATGACTAAAGCAAAAATATATGGGCTAAATCTGATCGTTGATATAATCCAATTGAGATAGGAAAACACTTGGTCAAACCCCCTTGTGTTTAAACACAGGTAACAGCTATTGCATACATATCCTTAATGACTTGAAAATAAGTATTATTAACCCCTTTCTTTTCTAGAACTCTCCATAGCAATTCTCTTGGAACTTTATCATATACAACAACAATAACAATAACAATAACAAGCATTTATCCCACTATGTGAGGTCAGCTGCATGTTTTTCTTCATTGTGTCATGTTAAGCGTCAAATTCTCATCTAAATCTAATAAAGAAAGGTCATTTCTAATATTTTCTAACCATGTCTTTTTAGGTCTACCTCTACCTTTCTTAACATAAGTCAAATATGTCACATCTACTTTCCTAACCGGATCATCGGAAGGCCGCCGTTTTATGTGACCAAACCATCTAATGCGACTCTCTCTAATCTTATCTTCCATTGGAACTTTATCATATGTTTTCTGAAAATCAATAAATATCATATTTAGATCCTTCTTATTCTCTCTATACTTCTTCATCAAACCTTTCAATAAATGTATAGCACATAGTATACCTAGCATGCATCCAAATTGATTTTGAGAAACATTAGTATAATGTTATAACCTATGCTCAATAACTCTCTCCCATAGTGATAGAGAATACTAACTGAGAAATGTGACATATGTTTTGTCTCTGCAATGCCACACAATTCTTAAAATTTGTTAGCTATTGTTTGGATGAGAAGATCTAATTGAGATTGATACCCTTTTTACATGATTTTTCAGCATTGGAAACAGCCATAAAAGATACCCTTTCTTGTGAATCCTTTACTTCACAATCAAATGTAATAGATTTGTCAGTTCAGATGTAAAACGGAAACCTTTGTTTTTTAGCGGAGGAGCTGGCGACTGCAGTTCTTGTGTGGGTGTGATGCTGGAGCTTGCTCGTGGAATATCTCAATGGGCTCATGGTTTTAGGAACGGTGTCATTTTCTTATTTAACACTGGAGAAGAAGAGGGTCTTAATGGTGCACACAGTTTTATTACGCAGGTTTGAAAATACTAGATTACTCCACTTTTCATCTTTGATTACAGAAGCATGGACTTCCTTAAAGATACTTCGAAGTGTCATTTTATTTGTTTAAAACTTCCTCTAATTTTTAAGCCATGTTATTTTTCTGTTTATTTATTATTCTCTTATTGCATAGTTGGAAACACCTTCCATTCTTACCCAGATACATAATTCTATGTCAAGCTCTTGTTCGTAATATGGTTGAGAGATCCCTTTAAAGAGTAATTGGCTCTGTGGACGATTCTATGTTAATTATATCCATTATTTATTACATTAATACACAAAACATTCTTATTTGTGCAGCATCCATGGAGGAACACTATACGCTTCGCTATTGATTTGGAGGCCATGGGTGTAGGAGGGAAATCTAGCATTTTTCAGGTGGTGCGAGTTCCAATATCATCATTTGATAAGAGCTATTTTTACTCTTTCCTTTCTAATAGATATTTCTACTTCTTTTTGCAAATCTTTTTATTTGCTTTTCACCATGTTGACCATTGTGAAATTTCTAGAATGTACTCTTTTGTGGAAGGACTAATCTTGATTTATATAAGCAGACTAGTCAGTCATGGGGTGTTGAAACTTATGCAAATGTGGCAAAATACCCATCTGGTCAAATAGTTTCCCAGGTTAGTATATTCCTTCTAAGGTGCTTTGTGCATATGTTTTTCCTCATTCTTTTAGTATAATGTGATCCATTTCGTTTCCATGTAGTTCTATTTTTTCCCTAGTAACCAAATATGGCACTTCTCCAATTTTCTAGTATGTGAAATAAAAAAATAAATAAAATTAAAGGAATATATTTAGTTTGAAATGCTTCATGTTTACTCTGAATTCATTAGAATAACTTGACATTTTTCTATTGAAGAAAAAATTCTTCTTCTCTTCTTTGGAAAAGTAATACAGGCCTCTTTCCATCCATTTTTTTCTTTCACATTTTTCAATTTTCTCTTGCCATCATTTAAGATGAAATGGTTATGTTTCTTCAGGATCTGTTTCTTTCTGGAGCAATTAAGTCAGCTACAGACTTTCAAGTTTATAAAGAAATCGCTGGCCTTCCTGGACTTGATTTTGCATTTATAGATTCCAGTGCTGTATATCATACGAAGGTGCGTCACAGTGCTAAAAAGTTTAATGTAGAAACTAGAAATCAATAACTTGATTGCTAGGTAACTTTTCTTTTGCTTATTTCTTATTGTCATTTATCATTTATATAGACTGGAATGCTCGGAAAAAAAGTGCAATATTTCAATATAAATCGGATGTTTTAATGCATATAAGAATGAGTGTTGCACTTTGCTTCCTTTGGATTAAATATTAGCAATTCAAGTTGGGTTGCTGAAGTTGGACATCGTGCAGTCTAGAATTTTTAATGCAGATCAACTTTGAGATACACAACTTGACAAAATCATACAAGCGAACAAAAAGTTTTGCATATCACAAAAAGTTAATTTTAACATTTATTAGTTACTTTTGATTACACAACAACAACATCATCAAGCCTTTGTCCCACTATGTGAGGTCGGCTACATAAATCCTTTTTCGTCATTGTGTCCTGTTAAAAGTCAAATTCTCAACATTTTTTTTTTTTGGAGAAATTCATCGCAAATGACAATTCAATAGTTTTTACTAGAAAGAACTCTTAGAAGTTCATAATCATGAAAATTATGCAACTAATTAAAAATTATGCTCTCATAAAACATGAATTATGTTAAACTTAGATAAAATTTATTACACATTCAAACTAACAAGAAGGTTTACAGAAAGAAAATAATTTAGAAGAAAAAATCACCTAAAGTAGAATAATTAAGCTTCAAATAGGCCTAAAAAGATAGCATATCTAATCAATCTTCACGTCTCTTGATTAATGATTCGGCTTCTGAAAGCAAAAGGAATAGTGCATCCAGCAAAAACTTTATTCATAAATAAAAAAATATTTTCTACAGAAGGTTATGACTCATATTTGTAATAAAATATCCCCCTTTTTTTACAATTAGAAAAAGTCATTTTGTCCACCAAAGATGAGAAATGTATCAATTACAATTAAATCTTAATCACATCTGCTATAAGTCCCTCACTCGATCATAAAAGATGGCAAAAGTTATATGCAAGTATTGTGATTGGTGACGTCATCCACAGAGGTCATCCACAAAGGTAATGCACTAGAATTCTTGCATTCTATTTCAATCAATGCTTCATGAAGTGGAACATAGGGTCATAGATGGATCACAAGAGGATGAAAATGTCACTGCTGGAGATGTATAACAACTTAAAAAAAAAAGAATAATTCCACTGTCAGAAGCAAAAGTTAGAGTAGTCACATCAGTTTGCTCTGCTTGAAAAAAAAAAGAATTGATTTCATCAGATCATTTAGTCATTATTCTTCCAAGAGTTTTGGGTGTAACTCTTGGATTTCTTATAAAAATATCCAATATAATCACATGTAAGTCTCTCTCTTTTACTCAAAATATCTCTTATATTCATTTCAATAGAGGATGAAATTTCATCTCCAATAATATTTTAAATAACAAAATTAGAATGATTGTCTAAAAATTATTCATATGAAGTGTTGCATGTGAATCTTGATGGTAGAGGTGGAAAGAGATGAATTTAAGGCCTCGGTTTATGATTCGTGATATAATGGTTAAATACTTTAAAGACTAAATTAGTAAAAGTTTTTTTTTGGATTTGTGACTTATAAACATTCATCCCACTTTTTTGTATGATTTTACATAGTTTTTTATGTATTAGTTAATTTTGGAAGAATTTTTAGAAATAGTTTTAAGATTTTGAAATACCGTTATCTTAACACCCAATTTGAATTCCAAATATCTTAAATTCACATTTTCATTAGAATTTTAACTGGCATGATTAACAGTAAGTTTCTTTGAATATTTCTTTCAAATAATACATTTGATTTAATGCAAAATGCAATATCAGATGATGCATATAATGGTTGTTCTAAAATGCTTATACATTTTTCAGTGAATATACAATAACTAATACTAATAGAAGAAGATGAAGAATATTTAAAATTTAAATTTATTAGGTTCCATAAAATTTTCTTTTTCTAATTATCAACAAATCACTGAAATAATATGCGCCTATCTTATCTGCAAATCTTTTTAAGAGAAAATAGTCTAAATTATTTAAAGATTTGTCTCCATGAATTATGCATTTTTAGTTTCAATCAAATAGATGGCATTTTGATTTTTAGATTGTTGTTGGTACCTATAATTGATAAATCTTTTGATATTTCGGCATAGTTATTTAAGGTTATTTTGATGAATTTGTAAATCAAGAACCAAAAACCAGGAAAACATCAATATCTATTTGATTTTGTAGATGTAGATATGATTTTATTAAATATAATTTCTGGAGTTATATTATCAAGTCGTTATCAATCTCAACATACATGATTTATTTAATTTCACAATTAGGGATAAATTGAAATTTTAATTAAGATTTATGTTGTTATATGATTTTAGGTTTAATTTCATATTTGATCTTTAACTTCTGCACAATTTCAGGTTCAGATTCGTGAAATTGTTCTAGTGCATACCACAATGCAGATCAAAATGAAAATATCAAATGTGGAATCATTTTACAATTGTAACACTTTCTCTACTTCTAATCCATCAACTATAGAACTTTTCGAATTATAAGTTTGGAAGAGGTTCAAATTTGACCATATTTGATATTTTTGTTGGTGTATTTAGCTAGATTTATATGATATTTAATGAGTTCTCCTTAAACATATTAAGCTCAGACAGGTGGATTGTAATATTTCTCAAAATCTAAAGCTTCATATAAATCCTCATATCCAACTAGAAACTTTTTCTTGATAAAATAAAATTTTTTTGGTCCTAGCTTAAAAGTTAAAACTCTTATTTATAAATAAATTGATTCACTTAAAAGTTTTGGCCCCTTGGGAGGGAAAAGGCAATAATCATGATCAACCTGCAGTCGCATAAGTGTCATTCATAATAGTGGACAACAGCCACTGCAAGCCCCATCACTTGAACACATGAAAGATCGATGTAAGCATAATAGACGGTCGCAGGAGGATTGCAAGCGGAGGAAAGTGCCACCAGTGAATGATAACGGCTAAAAAAAAAAAAAATCAGAAGAGGAAGAGCTGTAAAGCCTCTCATCAGTTGCTAATTAGGAAAATTAAGATTACAAAGTCTGCTAATATTTCATTCAAAATCTGAAGTTACCCTTCTGAAGATGCTATCAGAGTCTAGACATGAATATCTAAATGCTGTTTTGCACTTCTGTAGTGTTGTAAGAAGTGATTTTATCAATTTGCTAGCTTCTGATTTATGTTTTGTGTAAATTTCATATTTATAATAAGAAATATTAGCATTCTACAACAAATTGTACCCATGCCAATTGTTTTGAAGTGATAGCATTGAAAGAAGAGTGATACTTATTAAACTAAAAGATTAATAATTGATTAAGCTGACCTTGGATTATGGGAATAATTCATGATTATGTCTTGTTGGGAAATCTAAAATAAATGCAGAATGATATGTTGAAACTATTGAAGCCGGGATCTCTTCAGCATCTTGGGGAAAATATGCTAGCATTCCTGCTTCATGCTGCCAGGTCTCCAGATCTTTACAAAATGGCAGTAGGATCAGATGATGGAAAAGAAAGAAACAAGCCCATCTATTTTGATGTTCTGGTATGCAGATATTTGGCAACTTAATAATTGAGATTTTATTCTTCTTTTTCCATAAAAAATATTTAACATTACACAATTATATTTTTAAAATGTTGTCCTTGTTTGTTTCCTTTTTTATTTTTTCAATTTTCAGAACCATTGCATGTAACTTAAACTTGGAACCTTACAAAAGCATTGGTTGAAATGGTAGCTACTTTTTTTTAGCCTTTAGGATTTATGCATTGAAAGGATGTTATTTAGCAGTGGACTTGCTGATGACAATGACGCATGATATTCGCCTTTATAATTGTTAGATTATGGTTATTGTTATGCCATAAATGTCTCCACTTTTATATAAATAAAAGTGATGGGTAATATGAAAATAGAATTAATCATCTTTTGCTGAGGTTTTATTCTTCGATGAAGATATTTGCATTAACTGTCTCTTGAACGTTGTTTTGAAAATCGGACCGGACCGGCCGATTCAACCAGTTCAACCGTGAACCGGTCTGGTGGCCGGTCCGATCCAGCTTATAGAACCGGCTCTGCATCAGACTAGATCAAACCGGCGGTTCAACCGGTGAACCGGTCCGAGTTGGAAAGAATTGGTTCGGGTTGGAAAGAATCGGCCGGTTTATAAATTTTTTTATTTTTATTTTTATTAAATTTTAAACAATATATTTTAGTTTATTTAATTTTTTCAACTTTTTAAAATATTTTTATTAAATATGATGATTAATTTCACCATAATCTATGCAAGTTATCTTAAATACCTCACATAATTTGTTTTGCAAAAAGAGTGAACTTCACACTTTATAAAGGGTTCAAGACAATATCCTCAAACTCCTCCTATGATGTGGGACTAAAAAAATTGCATGAATAATTTAGAATGTGAATTTGGGCTAGTTGAGCTTCAAATTTTGGCTTAGTTGGGCTACAAATTTGAGCAATATGTATTATAAATTTGCTATAATATATATTATAAGAATTATAATATAAAATATTAATATTATAAATTTATATATTATATTAAATATTATTCTTATAAATATATTTAATTATAAATATATAAATATATTATTCTTAAATGATATTTATATTTATAATTTTGTATTATATATATTTTTAAATTTATAAAAGTGTGTTTTGACTAATGTTTCCTATTTTTCCTTGTTTCCTTAATGTTCTCTCGGTTTCTTTTTTGTTAGCCAATTGTTTCTTGCTGTGAGAGTGCATTTGTCTTTAAAAGTGAAGGTCATTACTAAGTATGAATATCTCATGTCTTTTGAAATGATATTTGAGTGCTCTTTGTTCTCTCATTGAGATGCAGTAAGAACTTTTCATCTCCTGCACATTTGTGCACCGTGTTCCTTGTGTCTTCCTCCATGTACAATACACTTGTACATCGTGGAAGAGTTGTAAGCATGCATTTCTATTTCCTAAATGCATACTTGTACACTTATCTCTATTTCAATAATCCTTCACTTTTTTTATTTTCACTTTCTTTGTAGACAACTCGGTTTACTAATCTAATCTATGATTTCTAAGCTTGAAAACCATAAGTAATTTACACATCATGACAACAAACCAATTAACAGTAAGCCATTTATTTTTTCTTAAAGTCGAATGCTTAATTTAATGGAAGTTAAATCATGACAACAAACCAATTATCGTCAGCAAATTTACACATCACCTTATCCATCAATTGTATTTAGCGTATTCTTTGTACCGCAGAGTGCCACTTGGAATTAATCTCCTTTGCAGAGTTTCTTCTCTAATTATTTTTTTTTTATTTGGAATTTGAAGGGAATGTACATGATTGTGTACCCACAGCATCTTGCCAGCATGCTTTCCAATTCGGTGATTCTACAAGCTCTTTTACTATGGACAACATCCTTGGTTATGGGTGGTTATCCTGGTGTAATATCATTTGTATTATCCTTTGTTTGTATAATCCTAATGTGGCTGCTTTCTCTGGGGTTATCTGTGTTAGTTGCCTTTATCATACCTCTAATATCTTCCTCCCCGGTGCCATATATTGCAAACCCATGGTTAGTAGCTGGTTTATTTGGCGCACCAGCGGTACTCGGTGCTATTGGTGGTCAGCACATAGGTTTTCTGTTTCTTCAGAAACATCTAAGGAAGGTCATTTCGAAAAGGATGGAAAACCTCTCTATCACTCAGAAAGAAAATTTAGTGAAATGGGAGGCAGAAAGATGGGTTTTCAAATCAGGATTAATTCAGTGGCTTATACTTCTTTTTATTGGCAACTTTTATAAGGTTGGGTCTTCATATTTAGCCCTTGTTTGGTTGGTTTCTCCTTCTTTTGCTTGTAAGTTAACCTACTTCGCCATTTACTAGTTGATTATTTCTACTCGAGAAATTGTGATGTTTGTTCTACCATTTTCCCAGATGGACTCATGGAAGCAACCTTATCTCCAGTGAGGCCGCCAAAGCAGCTCAAAATTACTACATTATTTCTGGGTTTAACTGTACCCGTTCTGCTGTCTTCCGGTGTTGTTATTAAGTTGGTAGGGACAATAACGGGTTCTTTGGTTCGGTTTGATAGGTCATGATTTTCTCTTTACTTGTGATCTTTAATCTAAGGCTTTGTTTGAGACGGCTTTCTTACTGCTTCTTAAAAATACTTTTTAGTATAAAATTTAAAATTTTTTAACAAAAAAATTGCTTTAAGAAACAATAAGAAAGTCGTTCCAAACGAAGCCTAAATATCATGCTGATTTTTTCACATCCTGTTTTGCTAAACAGAGTTGAATTTCGCACCAGTGGCTAGTCATTTATCTAAGTTTTTTGTGGTAATCCTGAATCAATCTGCAGGAACCCTGGTAGTACCCCCGAGTGGCTTGGAAATGTAATACTTGCTGCATTCATTGCTTCAATTGTCTGTCTAATGCTGGTCTACCTTCTTTCATATGTTCACATTTCAGGTCGGCAGTTTATCACATTTTCTGTCTCCCATTGCATTATACTTAATGATTTCTGTAAAAGTGACAGCCCTGTGATATTTATCTGTTTTTTGTTCTCATATTGAATTTCAGTATTAGATTTTGTGCTCTTTTCATTATTAAACAAGTTAACTTGTCTATCTAATAATTTGAAGTAAAGCCACCCTATCATCTATTTTTTCTGGTGTACACAGTACTGTTGCTCTTAAACAAGCTAATAACGTTGTAAATTTTGTTTAGAAAACCTTTAAATGGACCTGTCATTCTATGAGCTTAAAATTGAGATGTGGATTATGATGCCAAAATTAACGCAGCATAGATTTACTACAGAATAGTAGTCAGCACAGTGTACAGGCTGAAAATGGGAAGATCTGATTTTCTCTTATTTATCTGATTACAACTAATGTACTAGGGCAGTTTGATTAGTTCTTTGTTCTTAATGTGTAAAACTATATTCAGCTCAGGTCGTTGCTATCTTTTCTTTAATTTGAATTTGGATTCTAGTTTGTGCACAACTGGTGCACAACTGGACCAACATCGGGTGTTGAATTCTTAAGATGTTGCAGGTTTAGTAATGATTATAAATTTATTATTTTGAGTACGAACAAATTCCAGTGCAGACGATCGGAGGTGCCATTTACATTAACTTTATTTCAATTTGAGAATCAATCTTTTCTTCTATTCACCAAATTTAGGCTCTTCTATATTCTTAATGATTATGGCCTTTGACTAACCTTTTACTCTTTTAGAGGCTGTGCTTGACGTCATAGTCAATTCTGTAAATATCGCAATATATTTTTTGCTGTCTGTTTTTATCCGTTCATTATGTTGCGTAGGAGTTTCTGATTGATGGCATCTTGTGCAGATATTAAGGGATCAATAATGCTTTCAGTTTGTGCACTGATGGTTCTAACATTGATTGCTATTGCAACTGGATTTTTCCCCACATTCACGGAGGATGTTGCTCGTACTGTTAATGTAAGTTTTAATATGCTTTTGTTACGCTTTAGTTCTGGAATGGTATTGCTATTTGTTTACACACTCTCTTAGAAGCTTGTGAAGAATTATAATTGTCTTTAATACTAGAAAATTGCCCTCTGCTTTTACATACTAAAAAAGTTTCAATTATGCAGGAAATGTTTGTTCAACAACCTATAAAAATGTTAAATGAAGTAGATGCAATGGTGGAGCAACTAGCAAAGTAAAATGATGATAAAGGAAAACTCTATGATGGATCCTAATACATGCATTAAGAGCATATCATGCTTTGATACTAGATGATGCAGGACTACGTATGCTTTAGATGAATATGAAAATAACTTGCACTAATTAGATAAGAGCAAATAGCGGTTAAGACGGTTAGCCATTAAATGATAGTAGAAAACGTAAGAGGGGTGCCTACGTTTAGGCTAAATTACATGCTAGAAATTGAAAACATCCAAAGTAATTTAGAATTTCAAGAACATGCTAATTAAGTAGTGAGGGAGGGGCTGGCTGTTCTAGGTCTTGGGTGGAGCTTGGACCACGGGTGGGGGAAGGGGAAGATAGGGTCGGCGGTGGTGGGAAGAGGAAGGGAAAGAGATAGAAAATTAAGACCACGAACCCGACTCTTCTAGGTTGGTGGGTGATGCGCGATTCTCCCTCTCCTAGGGATCCTTCTCCTTAGTCCTCAAGCTCTCACAAGAAAGTAACACGCAGAAATTTTTTTTGATAATCATTCATTAACTTTAGAAGAAGAACATAAGGGCTATAAATAGCCTCGTACACAGGACTCAAAATAAAAAAGACGACAATGCCCCTATGACTTACATACTACCTCCCTTAAGAAATGGGTAAAACGGGAAAACAAATATAGCATAAATAATAAAATCTAAATAACATAATAAGAAGACAAATACATGAAATGACTCAAAAATACATAGACTCGATCGTGGCCGTAGATCGACGGCCACGCCTCTGATATACTTTCCATGCTCTGATGTCCCCATCAAATTCCCATCGAAAAAGAAGAGTTTGCTAGTCCCACTAGCGGTCATTTCTCTAAGAGATTAAAAAAAAGGGTTATCGGGACAGAGTTGAATAGGGTTTATGCCCTACGTATCCAAACAAATAGATTGAAAAAGTGTTTTGGTGGTTGTGCATCTCGGGGGCCTAAGGGATAGTCAAGTTTCTCATGAGGGGTACTGCACTGACGATAATTATGTTCCTGGATGTTGCAATCTAGAAAAAAATAAATACAACACAAACTAATATTGCAAACTAAAAACAACTTTCTTTCTTAAAACATTGATAAACATAAAACAATATAACCATGCTATTTTTAAATTAAAACACAACTCATTGATACCCTACCACTTAAAATAAAAACAACTTATCATAAATTTGAGAAGAAAGATACAGGTGAAAGGGAAACCGTGAGAGAAGATTAGATAGAAGAGGTTAGCTCCCAAGCCAAAGAACCCGCAGGTTTACTGTGATTACACCAACAACAATAATAACCCCCTCTTCTAGCAGTAAACAACTCATAAGTATAGGAGAAGAAGGGGAGAAATGGTTATAATTTGCTCACTTAATTATGCCACCCAAACAGCCAATAGAAGTCTCTCAAGTTAGCCCATATAATGAGGAGTTAATGCACTTAGTATAAGAAAATAGCAAAGTGGAAATTGAACAACCAGCAGCATGGGGAAAAAAGCCAACATAGGGAAAGCCAACAACAAGAGAAAACGGGACAGCATGGGGAACACCATGCAACTAGCCAAACAATTGGACCAAGCCCAATAAGGAGAAACAACCTAAAATTAAATACTCATTTAGCCACAAAGGAACAAGAAAGCAAATTCAACATAAGTGAAAAGCTAATTGAGAGAAATTATGTAAGAGCATCAAACCCAAGCATGATCATGTGTTGTTTTTCATCATAGGGTAATACAAATAAAAAGAAACATAGAATCCGAAACATAGAAAAACAAAAAACGTAGAAAAATAAAAATATAGGATGATAATTCTTGATTGCATCATCTATAAAATTTCTAAAGAGTTTCCCTCTATGTTGCACAGATACGGATACGACACGATATGGATACGGGACATGCCAATTCTTAAAAATACAGGATACGGATACGGCGCGGATACGACATTATAATATATAAATAATACATAAAAATTAAGAAAGTAATCAAAGTGTGATATTTGAAATGACAAAAAATTGAAATAAAAGTAAGCATTAAATATTTAAATGTCTAGTACATCAACACAAACAAGAAGATAAATTGTCCAGCACATGAAATTTCAACTATTCAATAGAAGGAATGATATGATTATCTTCTTCAGTGGTTTGTCTTTGAGTTTCTATATCATCTTCAATAAATATCATAGCTTCTAATTCAGACTCATCAAGTGAAAGATTAACAATTTCTAATATTCCCATATCCTCAAGAGATTCAAATCCATCTCCAGCAACATCCCACATCAGTAATGACCTGAATGATGTTTGAAGGCCCCACCATCATGATAACTTCTTTGATTAAATTAGAAATGAAAAATTTATCCTTGTACTATCCTTCACAGTTTATTGCTTTGATAAACATAGGATAGCTCTCTGTTACAGCCATGAAGTTGATAAGTGGTCTTCTTTGTGGATCTGTCCACCCATCACAAACCAAAGTAACTCCTTTTTCCTTCCAAACGCCTCTAGTAGGCTCGAGCAACTTCTCAATATTGTCCATCTCTCTTTGCAACAACTTTGTTCTAATGACATTATATCCTGGTGGCACGTGTCCTGCAAGATTGTTATTGCATGCATATGTAAAGGCATTCTTGTAATGTGGATTCCTTGCTAGGTTAAAAGGAAGTCTAGCTGAGTAAAACATTCTAGCTATTTCCCCGTCTAGTTGTTCTCTCATTTGTAAATTAAATGCTTTCTCCAAAGCACTATCTACAACATGTTTTCTTCTTTTTGGTTCAAATCCCTCCATTTGAAAAGGCCCTTTATTTACAGTATTGTCATCACATCTAATTGAAGAAGATGATGAAGGATATGAAGCATGAGTGCTTGGAAGTGGAATATGTTTTGGAAGCTCTTTTTTACTCCTTTGCTCAGCTTCACTGATTTTTCTTTGTAATTCAGCCATTTGTGATGAGCTTATCTTTGGGCAAACTTTAATTCCATGACCACTAATCTTCAACAAATGAGCTTTCACTATATAATATGATCCTTTGTATGTTGCATTACAAAATTGCATTTGAATGCAATATTGCCTCCCCCTTCTGATGTTTTACCTATTTTTGTAACATAACTCCATAGAGGTTTGTTATCTTCAATATTGATTTCTGATGGACCATCATTAAAACCAATTCCTACTCCACTAGAGATCATTATCCTAGAAAGGATTTATACAAATTAAAACATATGAACTTGAAACATGAAAAAATTTAAGTGAAAGTGTAGATATGTTGCGACTCTGCCGGGGGTCCAAGGGGGCGTTGCCCCCTGGCGGGCTTCGACCTGACCGGGCAGTACCGAGCATGTAAGAGTAATTTTGAAGTGCTGTTTATTTTTAAAGTTGTTTTTATGAAAAGATACCGAGCAGTATCGAGCATGTTTTAGCTTCTCGGTGCCGCTTGGTATCATACTCTGAATGATCTACAGCATCAAGCTTGTTTGAATAAATATGCTTTTATTTTTACATATTGAATATTTTCGTGTTATAAGTGTAGTAGTAACATAATTTACTTACTGGCCATTCATTATTTATATGTTATATGGGATCCTGCATTCCTGCTCATCTTTACTACTTAATTCAATTGTTATGCCGTTCAGGTTGTGCATGTTGTGGAGACAAACAGAGGCTCTGCTCAGAGCCAGGAACCATCTTCATATATTTCTTTATTTTCTTTTACTCCTGGTAGCTTGGTGGAGGAATCTGTGAGATTGAAGGATGAGGGATTTGAATGCGGAAGGAAGAATACTCTTGATTTTGTTTCCTTCACTGTAAAATATGGTTGTTTAAGCTTTAAGGATACTGACGCTGGATGGAGTAAGTCGGAGATTCCTTCACTTGATGTCGAAAGTGACTCCAGTGCTGATTCTAGAATAACACGGGTTTTGGTTGATACTAAACACTCCAAGCGTTGGTCACTGGCCATCAACACCGAGTTAATCAGCGATTTTTCATTTGAAGGTAACATAATCCATTTGTTAAACAGCTTATCGTCATTCTTTATGATCTTATCTTAGTTGAACTAGAAAAATAGATGCAGCTTTTTCTTCTTAAAAAACTTCATGGGGTTGATTGATTAACTAAAGAAATATTAGTGCAGATCTAAATCTGGACATACAACAACAACAACAACATCAACATCAAGCCTTTGTCCCATTACGTGGGGTCGGCTACATGAATCCTTTTTCGCTATTGTGTGATGTTAAAGTAAAATTCTCTTTTAAATCTAATAAAGAAAGATCATTTCTAATATTTTCTAGCCAGGTCTTTCTTGGTCTACCTCTATCTTTCTTAACATAAGTCAAATCTAATTTCTCAACTTTCCTAACAGGTCATCAGAAGCCCTTCGTTTAATGGTTGTTTAAGTTTACATATATGAATTTATCTTTCTTATTTGTCTAGAATTTTAACATGAGGCCAACCGTTTCTTATTCGAGTGATTTTTTACTCTCTCTCTCTCTCTACTTCCCTTCCTCCCTCCTCCCCCCTCTCTCTCTCTTCTCTAAGATTGATCTGAATAAAAAGTATTACATTTTTCTTTCTAAAATTTTATTCTCTTCATTTCTTAAAATTTTGAAGTTCTGAATTTTCTTCATATTTAAAAGAAAATGATTCATCTGGCGCAGTATAATTTCCTAGACTATATTATAAGTTTCCATATGTAGTATAGAAAGTGTTCTGAACTAGATTATTGGAATATGCTGTTCAAATAATGTAATTTCTTCAAGCACAATGTTCCCCACAACTTTATTGTTCCACCTTAGTGATGAAACAAAGCACTTTTGATGCAATAATATTTTCATTATATTCCCAACTTTCTTTCATCAAAGCAAAAGTTTAATAATCATAAGCAAAATCTTAATAATCATCTAGCTTAAACACTCCTTGATGTTGCATGCTGGATACGCTCATGTTTCCTTCAGTTAGGTGCTCTTTATATTGGGAGACACCGGACGTAGCTCTGTATCCGGAGGCGAATCAGAGCGCACCACTTTACCCGTTACATAGCGGGTGCATAGTCACAGTATACAGCAAGGAGGTGACGTGGCGTGCTCTTATTTATCTCCGAACAACGTCTGTTGTCCACACAGAATAACTAATCTTTTATTGGACATGTATGCTGTTATCAAAGCAGTGAACAATTCTGGTTTGAATTTGATCAATGGATCTTATGCATAGCATTGTTTGAATATTATGTTTCTTATTTGTTCTCAATGAATTGTTTGAACTTGCTAATCTAAAGCTGATAAATAAGCCTTAATAAGGCTTCATTTGTGATGTCTTTTTTACTGCTTTCTAAAATAATTTTTTAGTATACAAATTATTTAAATTAAAAATTTTTGTACTAAAAACTGCTTTAGAAAATATTATGAAAGTTTCATTAAATGAAGCCTAAGTTTTTAGTTTTTGTTTGGGACGGCTTTCTTATTGCTTCTTAAAGCAGCTTTTTAGTTAAAAATTAAATTTTTTTACTAGAAAGCTGCTTTAAGAAGCAGTAAGAAAGTCATCCCAAACGAAATCTTAATTCTTCTTTTCTCATCTCTTTTTTACCTTCTGTAAAGCAGTGGATTCAGAAGAACTGGTACCAACCGGCGAAAAGAGCAGTGTAGATGGAAGGCATATCATCCAATTTGCAGGAGGGAAGAATTCGCCGACAAGATTTCACTTTAACCTCATCTGGAGGAAGAACGGAACCCATCAGAATAATCTTGAGAGCTCTCCTCTCTTGTTGAAATTAAGAACGGATGTTAACAGAGTCACGCCGAAGGTCGCAAGAGTACTTGAAAAGCTTCCTCGCTGGTGCTCGCTCTTCGGCAAATCCACTTCCCCTTATACATTAGCTTTCCTGACGAGTCTTTCAGCTGACTTCTAGGAGCATATTGTTTTATTTCATTAGCTTATTATAACTTACCTCCTGATTTAGATTTCTGCACCTTTGTAATGTTTATTTGAATCATATTTTGAAGGCTTCTTTTGGTCTTGTCTTTTTTGCTTCCTTCAAGGGCTTATACACCATCTTGTTATTGGGGCAATTATGTCTTCAACTTCATGTTATTGTATCTAAGGCATCGTTTGGGGCGGCTTTTTTAATGCTTTATAAAGCAGCTTTTTAATACAATTTTTTTGTTTAAGAAATTTTTGAACTAAAAAGTTGTTTTAGAAAGCAGTTAAAAACTGTTCCAAATGAAGCCTAATCATTTGAGATAATTTTTCCATTTTCAAAAGTAATTTTTATTAAAAACTTTATAGTTCAAGAAATTTTTAACAAATAATCATTTATAATATGAATTAACAAGTAAGCATTTAATCATGTGAGAATGAATAAATGAACAATTAAATGAAGCTAATATTATAAGCAATCATCACACATATTTTTATATTGTTTGGCAACCGGCTTGAATCGTTCTATATTAATGTTTAAGACCTCATTAATCGAGGGTTCCATTTCCTTCACTTCAAGGCTTTGTTTGTGATGGCTTTCTTAATGCTTCTTAAAACAATTTTTAGTACAAAAATTTAAAATTTTGTATTAGAAAGCTGCTTTAAGAAGATATGAAAAAGCCGTCTGAAATGAAATCCAAGTTTGTGGAGAAATCATTTCAAAGTCTTCCTTAAAGGGGAAGATCACCCATTTCTTGATGAAAAGAGCATTAACAACTAAATTTTGCATTCAAACCTTATTCAATTCCTTCAAAATTTGACACTAAACCCACAATAAAAGGTTCAATCAATTTGTTTGAGATTAGAATTTACATATTTTTTAGTTGATTTTCTCTTCAACATAATATTATCATTAAAGCACACAAAAATAACACTTTTTTTATTACCCATTTAGGGTGGATTGAGGGGTTTACAAAAGCAAGAGAAAACAAGCTCCTAATAGCTCTTGACACATTGCAACATTTTTCCCAAAAGCTAAATTGTGTTAGTAAGAGCTTCTTAAATAAGTGGAAATTTAATATTTTTATGTTATAAATTATTTTTAAATACAAAATGTATGTAAATAACTCCAAAATCTAATAAAATAATAATTAAGCTCAATCTTATTCATAAAAATTATCATTATAAGTAATTCATTATTATAATTAATCAATAATTTGCTTATGAGTTAAACAATTAATTTGAAGTTAAAATAAAAGAATATATTTTCATATTTATGGCATGTGTTTAATTTCAATAAATTTGATTTTAATCTTCATAAATGTAAACCTTTTATATTTTAAGGTAAATGTAAATCTTCTCATATAAATATATTATTTCTAATATGATTAAAAAGTTTTTCATTAAAAGAATTCTCATATATTTTAATTAATTTCATTCAATATGAATTAAAATAAATCATTTCCTTATTTAACAAAGACTATTAAGTTTAAATACAAATTAATTTTTTTGGATAATATGTTTTTATTTAAGGCAAGTTGGAGAGAGAGAGAGAGAGAGAGAGAGAGAGAGAGAGAGAGGGACCTTTCCTATATAAGTCATAGAAAGGGTTTTGGGCCTGGGATTGTCGTTGACATCGACTCGTCGAAATCGCCTGTCAGAAATTCCTTGATTGCAAATTCAATTGAGATCGGAGAAATTTTGGCGTCTTGATTGAGTGGGAGAAGATGATCGAGGTGGTGTTGAATGATCGATTGGGGAAGAAGGTGAGAGTGAAGTGCAACGAAGATGACACGATCGGTGATCTCAAGAAGCTGGTAGCCGCACAGACGGGGACGCGGGCTGACAAGATCCGCATACAGAAGTGGTACAACATCTATAAGGATCATATTACCCTCAAGGATTACGAGATCCACGACGGGATGGGCTTAGAGCTATACTACAATTAGCACCAGGTGTGGTTTCGCTTCCTTTATTATGAATTGAAGAGCCACTGGCTATCCTTATTAACTTTGTATTTGTCTGTAGGCTGAACTTTTTTGCTTTATAATTATTTACATTTTTTTGATATATTAAATTTCACTTGTGGATTCATTGTGTTTGTACTAGAGTCCGGTATGAAGTCAAAGCTCAATGCCTAAATTGCTGGCATTTTGCTTTTCGGATAATCAGTCTACGAAAAGGAGATTTCTTAGTAAAGTTATTTGTGTTGCGATTAAGAGCAATCGGAGTCACATCTTTGGAAGAAACTTTTGATTGGTTTAGTTCTAACAAGAGTCGTAATTCTTTTATGGTAAAATTCACGGCTGGCCCAATTTGCAATTCATAACATTGACATATATGTAAAACAACATTCTTTCAACTTGAATCCCCTATTTGATAATGTCTTATGGTTTCAAATATATGGATGTACGTTGCTCATTCATGATTTTTTTAATACTTTTTCATATTCGAAGCATAATGAAAGTGGGTGACAACAGCCAAAGGGAGTTGAATTAATGTTTTTGATTTAGCACAAAATTTTTAAATTTAATTTTGAAACACAAAGATATATATATATATATATATATATATAAAGCAAATTCTAGATTGTTAAATCAAATTAAGTAAGAGATAAAGAAGATTGAGCAAGCTAGAGAAAAACATGGGTTATCTTCTTGAGAATGAAAAGCACTTATTATATTCCTCTATTTTCACCCTCAATATAGAAGCTATTTTAGAATATCATTATAGACTATGACATCCCTCTCTCAAAATCATACAATGTAATATATTTTTTTTCTTTCTTTTTCTTAAATGTAAATATGGAATTTTCATTATGAGACTTTTGAAATTGTCAAATATCATAAAATTGTTTCTTTTGAAAGTGATTCTAAATCCTCTACTCATTTTTTAATTGTTCACTTTGACCATTTGGGGGCATTATGAAATCTTCGTCATTTTTGGAGCTATTAGATTTATCATCTTAATTAATGATTGAACTTGTATGATTGGTACATATTATCAAATAAAAATCTAATGTTAACATTATTCTCCCTATTTATACTGTCATGATATAAAATAATTTCATGTTAACATTAATGTATTTTAGACTAATAATGCTTGTGATTATTTTAATCACACATTATTATCTTTCTTTCAAAAAGAATGTATCATCCATCAATCCTCCTGTGTTGTCACTAGCCAATAAAATAGAGTGGAAGAAAGGAAAATTATTATGTTCTGGAAATTACCAGGACAATTATATTCCAGAATTAAGTGCCAAGAAGATATTGGGAAGAAATAATTATAATTGTCACATGTCTAATCAATAGAGTACTCTCAAGGATAATTGACTTCAAAATTTCTATAAATTATCTAACGGAATTCTTTTCCATAAATAACTTTCTCTAAAAAATTTCTCCAAATATTTGGGTATATTACTTATGTCCGTATTCACAAATAACATAGGGATAAATTTGATCTTAGAGCTTTCAAATATATCTTTATTGGATATTTCTCCACTAAAAAGGCTATAACTATTGTCATCCTATCACTAAAAAATTTCTTACTTTAAAAGATGGTTGCATTTGATGAGAAATAAAGCTTTTTTTAATCAAACTCATATTCAAGAGAACTCTCAATTGGAAGAAAAATTTGATGAAGCTTACATTTTTCATCTTGACATTCCTAGAACTCAAACTCCAATACATCCAGACTTTGTACCATTCAAGTATGCATAAAAAGGAATAAGCCCAACCAAAATCTTCAACAAGCTCAAGACTTAAAATTGATATCAGATGATCTACCTATCACTATACATGCTCCTCTATATCTCATTTCCTCGTACACATCTTTTTAAAAACTTTCTTCTACCCATAAACTTTTACAAATATCAGCTTTAATTCTATTTCACATCGCAAACTTTTCTTTGAGATATTGAAAAATCAGAATTGAAAGATGCCATGAGAGAAGATATGAGTACTATAGAAAAAAATTTACTTAGGAGATCCTTGAACTATGAAAAGGAAAAAATAGTGGGATGCAAATGAATTTTTTCTATAAAATATAGAGCAAATTGAAGCATGGAATTGTATAAAGCGAAATTGGTAGACATGAGATTTATTGAAAAATATGAAATTAACTACCATGAAAATTTTGCTTATGTTATAAAAATGAATACAATAGACATTTTAACTTATCTTGCAGCTAATTATGGATAGCCCATGTAATAACATGATGTAAAAAATGCTTTCCTCTATGAGGATGCTAAAGAAAGTCTATATGGATCTAACTAAATTTGACACTTAGAGCAAAGTGTGCAAATTAAAAAAAGGCTATGTTTGGCCTTAAACAATCTCCGATAGCATGGTTTGACAGAATGACAAAGCTATGAATGAAACTAGATATAAATAAAGCTAACGAGATCATATTTTTTTATAAAACACTTATTTGATGATACAATCTCAATTCTTATCGTATATATTGACAATATAATTATGACAGGTGATAGAAAAAAGATCTCTTGACAATATAAAGACTAGTTGAAAAAATAATCCCTCTCACATCCATCTTGACATCACATTTGTAATTAGTCTCATCGGTCAATTCATATATAATCCCAAAGCGTTTCACTTTTAAGATGCTTATAGAATACTCAGATATCTTAAATCAAGTCTTGATAAAAAAATTATTTATAAAAATAAAATATTTTATAAATTAAAGGGTATGCTGATACAAATTATGTAGGATCATCAGTAGTTAAAAGATCCATGTGTGAATATTATATATTTTTATGAGGAAATCTCATAACATACAGGAGCAAGAACCCGCAGTTTTAAGATCTAGTAACGCCATTGCCCAAGCAATCTATGAGCTTCTGTGAATCTAAATCATCTTAGTAGATTTAAAATCAAAATAGGAATGATTGATGAAGATATATTGTAACAATTAATCTACCATCATTATTATTTATAATCTTGTACAACATGATTGTACTAAGTATGTGGAGGTTATAAATACTTCTATATTTTGTATATAATTGGGCAATAAAATTCAAAATAATTTTTTTTCAACTTTTTTATTTTTCTATAAAAACTAATGCATTCTCCAAAAGATCAATCACTGACGCTTGGTAGTGGAGACAATAGGGACAATGAAGATAAAAAGTTGGAAGTGGAGGACATAACTCACAACCACTTCAAGGTAGTGATGGTGGTGATAACGATGCTGGTAGCACAGTCCCATAATCACAACGATGACTATGGTATGGTGAGGATAGGAGAAAAAAGAGCTGGAGAAATGGTGGAAAGGTCACTTTTCCATGGGGAAGACAAGACTGGCAGAACACTTCCCTAACATCTTCCTGTCGCCTTTTGGGAAAATATTTTATATATTAGTGTAATAATGGTTATTAATAACTTTCAAGATAATGGGATGCTTTCACAGTCATCAAAATTCACTAAAGAAATAAATTATACGTGAACAGAAAACTCAAGTTATGTTTATGTATTATGTTGCAACTTAGTTTTTATAATTATGTTTTCATATTTTGTGTGTTTTTGATGATTCCAAATATTATTGTTTTGATTACTGTTTCTCCTAACATATATTGGATATATTACTTTTATTGTTTGTATGTATTAACATTTCAGGAAAATTATACTCCAGATTGTTAAATACTTCAAATCAAATTAGATTAGGGTTCATTGTAAATGGAGTATGTATTTTATATTTTTATTAAGTCTGTGAGAGTGTGATTATAATTAGGTAACCGTGCACACACACTGGGAGTGTTAAAACTTAACAATTTATTAAAACTAATCGTACTGTACGATGTCGTATCGTATGAGACGATTTGTTCAATTATTTTCTCCAGAAAGTAGTTAATCGAATCATGGACGGAAAAATTACTAAGTACTGTTCGTACTGTACAAAGTTGGCTTCATACAAACGACGTCCAAAGTACGAAATTGATACGAACATTTTCGTCCATACGAACAGGTAAATTTTTTGAACTGTTCGTTCGGGATGATCTGGAGTCCGTATAGACGATGTCCAGAGTACGAAATTGTGGGTATCTTTTCGTCCAGACGAATAGGAAATTTTTTATAACTGTTTGTACCGTACGATATAAATTTCGTACTGTACGATCAGCTTGTACGAAAATGTTTTGTCCAGGATTGTACGAGCAAATTTGGAACTGTTCTTACGGGACGATTGTCGATCGTACTGTACGATCGTGGATGCTCAAAATTGAAATTTTTAATTTTCTAGACAGTTTTTCGTGCCTTTCATATATAAGATTCTTAAAACTGACTTAGGATGAATCAATCTTTATTTTTCTTGAGAGCAAAAGTGTGAGAGTGATTGGGAGTGTTTTGAGAGTGTGGAGAGAGATTTTTCAAGTGGTAATTGTGAAGGGTTCAGAAGGTTGCCCAAAGGTGAGAATCTCTTTGTAAGTCTTGTCAATCATCTTTCCTACTTCTTCATAGTTGCTCGTTAGAAGATCTTTGAAGAATATCCGATTCTCTACCGACACCAAGAGGGTGTGAAAGGACGCCAGTTCTCTGCCAACACTTGGAGAAGTGTAAAAGGACAACAGTACTCTGCCAACACTTGGAGAAGTGTGAAATGACGACTGTTCTCTGCCTACACTTGGAGAAGTGTTGACCTACACAGCATATCAGAACAAAAAAAATCAAATAAAAAAATTTTCTGCCATACATGTACAAGCCATCCCGATATCCTGCTCAAATCCAGTCACATCCCCGCCGCTTGCTACAGTGCTCACGTCTGCGATTCGGTGTCGTTGCAGTCACCCCACGCTCACCTCGATCGTTACCCCATTCGACTCTATAAAATGCGATCGAAACCCTCGTTCGTTCTACACACGATCTCCTTCGACTCCCCATTGCTCTCCCACGCACACAGCAAGCTCCCGTCACTGCTCAGCCCGATTCCTCCCCTCTTCCAC